GGAATGAAATGCTGAGTCTCCCACCTTTGTACACTGGCCTGTTTTCAGGAAGATGGTCAGGAGTCCCCACCTACATTTCCAGGTCCTCCTCCTCCAACCTGGGTCCCTTCAGATGTGGGACTGCAATTGTCATCATTCCCAGCCAGTTGTCATCTCCCATTATAACATGATAGATATGACTGAGGAATCCTTGGGCACCAGATTTATCTTTTGGATAAGATCATGTACATTCAGTGGAGGGTTTATTACCAGGTATGCATGCACAAGAAAACAGCCATGGCAGGACAGTCCAAAGCATGTTTTCCTAGCTAAAAACCCCCCCCCCCCCGCTTAAGTGAGATTTACTCATGAGCAAAAGTGCTTTTGGGTGCATCTCCAACTAGTAGAGCAAGGCTACAACTGTTTGCTCAGAAGTAGGTTTCATTGAGTTAGGCTTTACCTTCAAGTAAATGCATGTGGTTCCTTTCTCCATACTGACCTTTTCCAGCTGTTAGACTACAACTCCCATAATTCCCCATCAGCACATTCATGGTCCAGGTTCACCAGGGATGATGGGAGATGTGATCAAAAAGTGAAAGAGTTTTCAAACTTTGTGACATCGTGACTCCCTAAAACAGTTGATGACTTTGTGTAAAGCCCTTTTTCCATGAATAAAACCAATCAGTGCCATTGCCTTTAGGGTGATTTTGACAGAGCTATGATTTAGCAACCTTTCAAAATTCACTCCTGGGAAAAGCAGGAGAAATGTGTAAACCCCCCTCCCCCATTGCTCATGATCCCAGGAGGATTGTGACTCACAGTCTGACAACCACTGAGTTAGTATATAGGGTTGCAGGCCAAGTAATTTAAAACATACAGCCTAAATCCTACCTCCCCAGTTTCATGTTAATTTATTAGGAGTTTCACTCCTATTTTGAACTCCCAAAATGTTTCATCATAGAAATCTTAACCTCATTACATATTTGAGATATCTTCTCACATATCTAAATGGTTCTTTCTTTGACAACTTCTTATTTACTCTTAAAGACTTGGCAAGAAATCCCACACAGTTTCTAACTGGGGAGCAGCTGGGGACAAGGAAGATCAACTTCTGGCAATGGGTCCTTTTCCACTGACAAATTCAGAATATGCCTGGAGTTTCTTCAGTCCTATGAACTAAACAGTCACAGTCTCCTCAATCCTATGAACTAAAACCATCTTTAAACCTACTGCGAGAAGAGACATCATTTATATAATTACTACCTCACTCATAAATCTTCCCAGCCCACATTTCTCTCTTTCTCTCTGTTAGGGAGTGTACCTGCACAGAGATGGCATTGAAAAAAATATGTGGAAGCTGTTGGGAAAACATGAACTTAGCCCAGGAGAACAGGAAGGCATGAGAAATAAACTCAAGACTGGGCCCCTTTGACTCTGTTTGGTATAAGAGTGAACAGGAAATGCCATCAGGTTTTCAAGATTCTGTTCTTACAGCCTATCTCAATGAAGTAGAATTTTACTATTAATTGTGGCATTTCCTAACCTTGCTTACCTTGAAGTGCGCTGTCAAAGGCTGACAGTGCATCATCAAGGGGCAGTGTTTAGCTCAAACATGATGTATCTTGAAAAAAACCAAGCAGTCTCCAACTTGGTTTGTTCTTGGATGGGTGGTTACAAAGAAAACACAGAACTGAAAGTTGCAAATGGCAAACTGCTTTCGCCATGTGGTCAGTGGGAGTTGACCTTGACTTGGAGAAGACTTTGCTTTTACTTTCTGTCTCCCCTAATGACTTTATTTGGGTTCATTCCATTACTGTGTGTGCAAATACATCTTGGATGTGGAGAAAATGCTGGGTTGCTATGGCAACAGTTGTCAAGGAGTCTGATAACAATGTGTTTGGAGGGGGAGGAGAAGAAAGAGAGAGATTCTGATTTTAATGATAATACTTTGCAATCTCCTTCAATATCCCTTCCCAGTAAGGTGCCTTTAGATGTTCTGTATTTCTTTGTTGCCCTCTAGTAAACATCTGGATTTTTGCAGCCCAAATATCACATCCCCAATACAATAGATTTGTAAGACTTGTTCAGTCTGCCCAAAAGCTACAAATAGGTTCCTCCCATGAACTCTGTTCTGATTATATCCCCCACTCCATCCCTCTCTTAACCCCCTTAATATGTATCCTATTAGATCATTCCAAGACCTTCTCTTCCTTGAACTCTGCCAACCTGGTGGTCGGGTTCTTGATACCCATCAATATTTTACAAATGAAAGAAGGCGTGCTTGCATATTTGCAATATTTACCCTAAGGTGATTATATCATACTATCTTCTTGTCAGGTCCAGATTCATCTTCTGAGACATCATCTAAGGTGGAAGATCCACTTTTCCATATATGGTGGGGTTCAAAGGGATCTGGTGGACACCATGTCCCAATATTGCTACCCAAGGAAGTGGAAAGCTGCAGGTTCAAGACACCTCCAGTTCTAAACCCTCTAATATCACTTATTAGCAGTTGCCAGGAGCAGAAGGAGTGTATAACTCACAAGAGAAGGTACAGTGCAGGAGGAGACCTCCTGTGTCTGACTCCTTGCAGTGGCAAGAATTGAGGCAGTGACATTGGCTGCTATGTATTTCAACTGTAGCCCAAAATTGACAGGTGTACTTTTCCACCATTTTGAAACACTCAAAAATTGTAGTGAATGTTTGATTCTATCTTTAAAAAAGACTAAAACAAAAACCCAAACTCCCACCCTTCCCCCCAGGAGGAACATCTTGGACATCCTCTGCAAAATGTGTGCATGATGGTCCTCATTCCCCTTTCTCAAACAGATGAAGCAGAAAGAGCTGACAATTTGATTTATATCGAGAATTGGCTCAGACCAGGATTTGCTTCCATTCTCCTCCCCCCACCCCACCCCCTTTGAAGGAACTGCAAGTTCTGGAGTACTGTCAGTTCACTTGGATTAGGTGGGTGAGCAGTGACTTGCCACCCTGCTCGAAGTCACTTGGGGCCAGATATATGCCTAAGCCTCAGTTAATAGGCTGATAACAACGAAGAAATCCTCAAGGAAGGGAAGATTAAGGACATTGCCGTAGGTTCCAGTAACTGCAGCTGGTTTTGTCACTATAACAACACATTAATGTGTTTTCAGATCCCTAGTGTGTGGGAAATATATGTAGGTCAATGAAGATAATTTCACATGCATGGTTAGAAAGCACCTTTAGCTGAAAGCAGAAGAATCACAGGATGGCCTGCTACAGTGGGGCTGCAGAGATGGAGAAGGGGACTGCCCCACAACCCTTCTCATCACCAATATAATCATCAGAGACATGAGTCAAAATACCTTCCCTTTCTTAGCATCCCCTCCAACCTAATGGTCCTATGGTTCCTCATCCCTGGACACATAATGAGTTATTAATCTGAATGCTTGCTATCCTGATGCATAAGGGATTAAGGAAGAACATCAGAGCACTGGCTCTGCATAGGCAGGGTTTCTTCCTCCTCCCTCTGTCCCCCCAGGATGGACCCACCCACCTCCAGTAGACAGAGTACTCTGCAGTTGGGAAGAGCTGCTGAATCCGTGGTGCCTCCTTGACTCATTTTGAGAGGACATTACATCTGGCTGTACTAGGAAAAAGGATGCAATCTAGAATCATGGAACTGTAGATTCCAAAGGGACACGAGGATCATCTAGTACAATCCTCTCCAATATGCAGGAAGACTAATTAGACCAGTATTTCTCAACCTCAGCAACTTTAAGAGGTGTGGACTTCAACTCCCGGAATTCCTCAGCCAGCCAAGAGTTGAAGTCCACACCTCTTAAAGTTGCTGAGGTTGAGAAACACTGAATTAGACAATTGTCAAGAGGTAGCTGTCCAGCTTTTAAGAACACACAACCTCTGTAGTAGACTATGGTGGAGCAGTCAGGAAGTTTTTCTTCTATTTAAATTACATCTAGGTAGCAAAACCTATACCCATTATTCCTGGTCCTCGTTTCTGTGGCCCTGGAAAACATTTTTTGGCATTTTCCCTGTAGCTTCCCTCTATATTCCTGAACATGGCCATCATGTTTCCTCTAAGTCTTCTTTTCTTCAGACTTGAAGTTCTTCTTTACTCTTGAACAAGTCTGTTGAACATAGTAGTCCTTAGGGTGTAATCCTGGGAATAAATCCCATTAAACTCAACAGGGCTTATTTAGGAACAGATAAGCACAGATAACTGATGGATGGTCCATCTTACTTAGGATTGACAAAGTCTTTCAGAGTCTTTCCAACTCTACTTGGAAATGCCAGGGATTTAACCGGCACTTTCTGCATGCCAAACTCAGACTCCACCAATGACCTATAGCTGTACTTCAAGCCTGGTGGTGTTGACTTTCCATAAAGAGCATTCATGAAAGGAAAGCACGGCCATCAAAAGATCACTTCCGCTTCCTCTTCTAACCTTCCCTTCCCTGCTGCTGTAACCTTTATTATTTCCTTTTCTTTTGTGGTTTCTCCACCGTGCCAATATTAGGATTGCATGTTCCTGGAGATTACAGGACTGCAGAGAAGAATTGTACAATGAAAAGTTGGCTTCATTTCACCCAAGCATTAGGAGTTTGACCTACCACAGGATCCACCATCTCTTGACCACTAAACCAAAGAGTGGTTGAAATATGTAAGATAGACATGGTCCATGATTTGACATCTAATCTTGTTAATTGCCAATGAAAGAGTGGAATCGGTCATACAACTCTCATTCATTCCCAGGCAAACCCCATCAAAGCAAATGGAAGCTCTCAAGCAGCAACATTTCACAAGAATGCAACTCAAGGTTGGGGTGTAATTGTTTACAAGTCCTCACCAGCAATCATCTTACATATTCAGGGTACAAATGCAGAAATTAAAAAATTAACAATGAAGGTATGGAACAGTACAATCAGAAGAAGAGACATTCTGTTTTTCTCTCCTTATTTACTGCTCTTTACAGCAACTTTTTCTTTAAAAAAAATCAAAGAAAAGTATTTTTGTCCAAGAAAGAAAGAAAGAAAGAAAGAAAGAAAGAAAGAAAGAAAGAAAGAAAGAAAGAAAGAAAGATCATATGATACAGAACCAATCTATTACTTTAAGGCAAATTATACTCCTTCTTATTCCATTAAAAACTGAAATAAAATATTGTTTTCCCATGATGGCTGTTTAATGCAGCCATTGCCAAGTATTTCAGCTCCTCTCTGATCTTTAGTGACATTAGCTTGAATTGATTTCAGGGGCTGCAAAGACACTCACCACTCACCCCAAATTCCCTCTGACCTTCCACCTACGCATGCTTGCCCAGAAATCCCACTGGGTCCAATGGAGCTTACTTCTAGGAAAATGTGCGCATGATTGCAGCTGGAGTTTACAACGCTTGGCACAATTATTTGAGACAAAGTTCCACTGGACTTAGAAGAAATTACTTTTAAGTAAACCTGCTGAGTGCAGTGGCATAAAACCACAGTCTGGCATGTACCTATTTGAGAAGAAAGTGAGATCTGAGTAAATATGCTGGCTAGGGTGCTATAAAGGCAGTTTTATGCCCCACAAGCACATAACCTGTTTCAGCCAAGGCCCACATCTGGCTTTGAACAGCAGATCCATGGCCACACTCCACTGCTAGGTGATGACTGGCCAAAGAGCCCAATTTAAGTATGATTTCATTTCAGTTAATCAAATGCCACCCGCCTCACAATTCCCCCTGTGTTTAATTTTCTCTCTTCTATCCCATTAACAATTACAACCCAGTGGTAACTTCAGAGATCTGCGTTTCGCCTTGTGTGGGTCTCCGCTCACTGCCCCCTTGCTATTCTTATTTGGGGGAAACAGTGCGATTCTGTGCTTTTTTAAGCCTAGAAGTAAATCCTCCTGTCCAGTGGAGAAGATTGCAAATTCATCCAACACAGGAGAGATTACTTTTGAGAAAGCATGCAATTCGTGGGCTGCGTAACTCATTCTGCACGTTGGGAGCCCTTGGTTGGCTGGTTAGGGGAGTCAGCAATCAAAATGGATTCGGTCAAAAAGCATTTTTCATCCTTGGAGCTTTCCAGATTGACCAAGGATCAAACAAAGATCTAAAGTTCTCAAGAACCACTCAACAGGCTCTACAGCCAACAGACTTGTGACCAATTTCCATGGAGCCAAGTACCTACGTAATACGTGTTAAATTAGAAAGACAGCAGTTAAAAGAAGAAGTCAGATGGAAAGATCACATCAGAAGGAGCTGGTTTGGTGGATGGAATGAAAAATCAAGGTCCACTTTAGGAGACAGGAACAGACTTCGGAGATGCCTAAAATGAAGCAGCTTCGTTCTCACACTTGCCTCAACTCATCTCCCAGTTTTGCTTTCAAAGATAAATTGTGCTTTCCCCTTCCTTTCCTTGCAGATGTAGACAGGTGGCTGCAGGAGGTACAGGATATCCCTTTTCTTGTTTACTCCGCCTGAGCATCATAATTTGCACCCCCAGCTTTCTTCAACTCACTCCTGATGTAATCTTCATCCAGTTCCTTGTGGTCACTAATCACAAACTCTTTGGCAAAATTCTGCAGGAGACAAAAGTTGCACGTTTGTTTAGTGAAGTATATGGTTGGATAGCAGAATGTCCACACTAGGAAGTGGGACTACATAACATGATGCCCTGCACACTTTTGAACAGGGATTGAAAGATTTCCAGAACAATTGTTCCAGAGGAACGCCTTCATGAGCTTTTGGTAGTTGCTCACTGCCATAATGTCCCCCTGTTCTAATATTCATCTGAAACCATTACTGCATGGACCTAACCAGCCAGTAACCCCCTCATAATCAGGATGGCTGCAGAGAGGTGTGAGAAGACATAGAAAAAAAGTTATTTCCCAAATGTCAGGACATCAGAGGTCCTTCAGATGTGCTGGATTTGAACCCCCAGTGTCAACCATGTCCATTGTAAGTGCTCTAATTCAACATAGGTGGAAGGTTTCAAGTTTGGTTCAGCAAGGAGGACAGGAGCACTGGTTGGTGGTGTGGGCAGTTGAGTTCCTCATGGACAAGAATGGGCACAGCTCACAAATTCTGAGTAATTCTTAAGCTGACAGCCCTGTTGAAATACAGGAGAGAACGTTGTTTCTGTCTGTTTCCCGCTGAAACCATTTTCTGGTTCCTCTTAAAATTCCAGTCCCAAGACATACAAGGGCCTCTCAGTCCCCACATTCGATTTGCCATCCCATTTTGACCTTGGCAATGCCCTGGGAATGAATTACCACCTCTGTGCTCATTCTAGAGTATAGGAGCCCCACAAACAAACATGTCCATTTATTTGGGGCCAGGAAGCTGGAGGCATTAACAACCTGAATGGCTTTACATAATGCAAAAGGCGGAGTTTGCGTAACACTCTAAGGAGAACCACAACAAACATCTCTGCAAACGTTTTATTCAGCCTCTTATGCAATGCAAAGAAATCAAGCTTATTCGTAGTTTAGTAACCAAGCATTCATGTCCTTCAGAGCTGTTTCCGACTGACTGTCAAAAGCATTTGCATGCAAAAAGCTGGATCCTGACATCTAAATTAGGCAGTTTAATGTCTTGGAGGGTATCTGTACTTAGATTTTGGCTTCCTCATTTCAGCGGAAGGATAACAACGCAAAACAGCTTGGAATCACTGGTGCAGATCAAATGTATTCAGTCAAATTGGTGCCCTTCTGAGTCTTTTGACTACAATTTCCACAACTCCTTGCCACTGGTTACAACAACTGGGCTAATGGAAGTTGAAGTCCAACACTTCTGGAAGATGTTGGGCTCTATATTTCTGGTGTAAGACCAAGGTTGGGAAACCTGACACTTTCCAAAGGTATGGATTCTCACTCCCAGCTAGTGGGACCCATAGTATGTAACTGAGGGTGCTGGAATCAAGTGCCCTGTTCCACCTTAGAAAGATGTTCTAATGATCCTAGAAATCAAACCTCAAGGCGTAACTACGGATGCTCCTATATTAGCATTTTCTCCCATCTCCCTGTGATACAGCTTCACAAAAAGCTCCATTTTATGTGGGCATCCTGAATTGGGCCATTTTAGGCTTTGGACATATGGCCTTGAATGGTTTTTTTGCGGCTCCAGAAGATCTCTCCAACTACAGCGGCCAAAATGAGTGGCACAGCTTTTACTGTTTTGAGACAGGAAACATGTAAAACCTGAGTTGTGAGCCCCAAAGTATGCTCAGCTCTGCACTGTGTGAACAGGAGCACACATCCACCCCTTTGTCCATGGGGACGCGAACTGGAGATCAAAAACATCTCCTTTCCATTTCAAACTAGCCCAAATTCCTGATTCTCACCAAACTAGGTGAAACTCAATTCAACTATGCCTGGATCAAATCCTGGCTTCTTAAGGAACCATCCTGTCAACCAAACAGTGTTCCTCCTTGTTTGGTCATCCCATGGAATGATAATTAACTTAAGAATGGAAGTTGACTGAGATTCATAGAAAGAAATTATACTCTTGTTTAAGAAGTGTAAGAATACGTTTTCACACTGCTAGTGAAAAACAAGGTAAGAATAAAACTGACCACTGCAGAATGAAGGAGAGACAGAAAGGGACCAACCTCTCAAAAGAGGGGGCCAAGGACTGCTGGAAAGAAAATGGAAGGCAAGAAGGTTTGATCCTTTTTCCATAAATAAGGCTGGTTCTCAGATCATTGCAGTTCCTAAAATTCTTTTGTTATGGCTCCCTAGCTTTCTTCGAAGAATATTACTGATTCTAGGTTCTTGGTTTTCTTGTGAGTTTATCTAAGGGGTTCCAATCCTCCTTGAATAAGCAAAGGCCAGCAGTCAGCCTGGGGTCATCTTTATGTCCAAATAAAAGACAGTTTCACGTGAAGTGCATATGAAATGAAGCTGCATTAAAATGCAAGCTGAATTAATGTACCCTCCCTTCCCCATTCCTGCAGATGGATAAATTCCACCAGGAAAAAATTAAGCACACATCACAAGGCCCCTGTGCTGACTTGTTAATTAGGGTGGATTGAAAGCCCAGCCTTGCAGCTCTTATTGCCTACACACAATAAAATAATCTAGAGCTTTAAGGATTTTCCAGTATTGATGACCCGAACTAATACAAAGGCCCTGTCATCTCCTTATTGGTTTTCTCAACAGAAAGATTTCGAATGATGCAGGCCCCAGTTGCTATCAGCATTCTTTTCTTCATCCACAAAGTCCTGCCAGGTGCAGTCACGGGGTTTGTCCAATACTCCAAGCTGGTATCTCAACCAAGGTTTCCCTGTTGGAACCAATCCCTGCTTTTATGCAATTCATTCTGCCTGTGACAACAGGTATCTCCAAAGTCTGGAAACAAAAGGTTATCTACTAATCAGGAACACCCATCAAGGCACAAAAGCTGTCCAGACCCATGTCTTTCTCTCTTCCTGACCTCATCTCAATACCCTCACTCAATACCAGACAACGAATCTCAGCTGAACAATAAAGTTTGCGAGTTTTCTCCTATGACACACCCCATGCTATGAATGGCAGTGAGTCACTTCTCTTTCAAGTCTAGTCACCATCTCCATATTCTTTCTACCTCCTGGCCTGTGTCTCTCCACTCTTATGACCTGGGACAATCCTAGCCTATTAGTTGCCATTGTAGCCTCTCTTTTACTTCTAAAGGTCTTCTCCTCCCTTCAGCACTTTTATTCCCTGCTCAAAAATTCTCCCATCATCTGTTTGATGTCATCATATCTGCAACTGCTGAACCATTGGTAAGGCCCAAACACTGTGTGATGGTTCATTGATTCCTAATCAGAGCATTTTCTGAACTTCTCTTTCTACTTTCTCTTAGTCTCTCAGGAATTTGTTTGGTAGGTCTAGCATTCCCAATATCAGTTTTGGGTTCAACTGATGTGGTAATTCCTGGTTCACTTGTGAATGTTGCCTTAAACTCTGTTACTGATTTTTCCAAAACTTGTCTTTGATGCAACCTTCTGCTGAAGTCTCTATTCTCATGCGCTTCCACAATTCTGCTGATACCCAAGCCAGTAGCTTAATCACTACATTTTTTCCTTCCTGTTTTATCCTGTTTATTATTCTATTATTTGCCTGTGCTGAATTTTAGATCATGAACATCTTAGGACAAAAAACTCCCTCCTTGAACACTGCAAAGTGTGGCATGCTTTGACGGGACAAGAAATGTTGACTTGAAAACTTCAACTTACCTGTACAACTTCTTTCACAAGCGTCTTATCAGTCCCTGTTTTAGCTCTCTGAAGGCCACTGACATTCTCCCCTATCCATGTGATCAGTGCAAACTTGACTCGCTTGCTCATGGTATCTCCAGTGGTGAATCGGATGAAGCCAAACAACCGAATGTCATCTTGAGAAGAAGTAAAATAAAATAAAGGGACAGTCATGGAGCTGGAGAAGGAAAATTGGGCTTACTAAGTTGGTCATCAGGATGGCAACTACACATGTTCTGTGTCAAAACTTTATTTTGCCATTTTTTTCTCCTCCTCCTCTCATTCAGTTGCCTACAAAACAAATTTTCATTGGAGGGATTCATGACCACCTATGAGTTATCTGATGCTGAGGATTATGTCCTACCTGTCATTCTGCTACTTATTTTTTCAAGACTTGTGAACTTCTCTGGCTTCCCACCCTATTAAGTCACCATGCAGTAAAAAGGGGCAGGCCTTCGATCACATGGTGGTGGCCACCATTTTGACTGTTTTGAACCCCTCCCTCTGGACACCTCTGGCCCAAATTCTAGACCCAAAGTTTCCTGCCCTGAAGAACTTGCGGTGAAAACTGAAAAAGGAAGTAAATGAAGGAGGGGCACATCAGGCATGATGTGTGTGCATGTACATGTGTGTTCATGGAAACAACTATAGAGAGAGAGAGGGGAAAAAATTAGGGACTTTCCTTTGTGCAAGATTAAATTGGAATTCCAAGGGTCTAAAAGAACAAGCAGCAGCAGAACAAGAGACCAGTAAAATAGCATCTGTCCTGCAGCCCAAGGAAATGGATTTTTTTAATTTTTTTTTTTTAAGTTTGCAAAGGCAGAAGAAAGGAGAGGAATGATTTGCAGCCAGACAGGAATGGCTTGTCAATGAGAAACTCAACCACAATCATTACCATCAGGAAGACTCATCTTCCTCCCTCCCCCACACAGCTTTTCCTTCTTTTACAGGCTGGCCCTTTAAAGTCAACATTAAAGAGAAAAGCTTGGGGTGGCAGAAATGGAAGATGAAAAGTAAGGCATTAACCCTTCAGTATGCTTCCTGCTGTAAACTTTCTTCTGTAAGCTGAAAGGAAAGAAAGCAGAGCAGAAGAAAAGGGGGGTGGCTTTCTTGGAGGCTCTGAAATGTTTTTTTAAAAAAGCATTCACATTGATCTGTGACATCTCCTTAGCTCCCTGACTCCATCTTCTATACCACACTGAGAATTACCCCAGTCTTCCATAAAGAAAGTGGATGGATGGATGGATGGATGGATGGATGGATGGATGGATGGATGGATAATAAATATAGACAGATAGGTTTACCACCTCTATTTATTTTTGCCAATCTTTGAACATCAGTGTGCATATCTCAGTGGGAAGGAACTGTTGTGCATAGGGTTAATCAAGTCGTTCTTGCTTCCAACACTCTCACCCAATATTTACTACTAAAAAAAAAGTCTTTCTACACATATTCGCCTCTATTAGTCTTTCTTTTCCTAGAATCATAGAGCTCAGAGGACTTCAAAGGTTATCCAATATCTTATCTTATCAATTACCAACTTTGAGCCTTGAAACAGGCTAGCTTCTTGGATAATCTATTTTGCTGTCAAAGAGTTGGTTCAGTCAAGACGTTCTTCCTAACATTCAGCTGGAATCCTTTCTCTGGAAATTTAACCCCCCCACCCCACCCCTTGTTCAGTCCCTATCTCTTTGGAGTCACAGAAAACAAATTTGCTCCATTGTCTCTGGGACATTCTTTCAAATATTTCAAAGATGCTGATCTCATTGTCTCTTATCATCTCTTCCCCAGACTCCTAAGCCCTGGTTTCCTGCCTTGGCTGTCCCAGCACCACAGTTTAAATTGTGACAAAATGGCTGATTAGCCACTGGTGAAGTAGATATCCTTCAGAGTTAATGAACTTAAGAATAGGATAAAATAGGTATGTGTTTCTCTTCCAATGGAATGGTCTGGCCATTTGAATATTCCCTAAACTGGACATATTCCAACCTGGCCTCACCAGTCATTCCCTAGCTGTATTCAGTGTCCAAAACAAGCCTGATTCAGTCATTGTATTAAACCCTCCTGTGGTTTGCTTACTTTGCTAACTATGTTGCATAACCCCAACCTTGATTTATAGCTTAGTGGAATGTGTGAACACAACCACTGTATTGTTTCAATCACGGTTAAATACATCTTGGTTTAGCATAATGTGTGAAGTGGTTAATTCCTCTCTAGGCAATGAAAGCTACTAAGATTCCTGAGTGTACAGCATGTGACCTCCCAGATGTTGATGAACCACATCTAACCCCAGTTCTAACCCTGACCCTAATCATGACTGGACAAGTATGTTCTCAAACAACCCCTTTCACAATTTCTCCCGAAAGACTTGGGCCTAACTTGGTTCCTGCAAATGGAGCCCATCTCTCATCATCGGTTCTGTCCCACAGAAATGGTTGCAACTTGCATAATTGACTGAGGGAAGAGGAACCTGTTCCATACCAAATTCATTATCCAAAGATGGCCCAAATCATTTGCCAAGGCTAGAGCCGTAGCTTCAACCAGAGTCTCTGCTGAGCTGAACAATTTAGAAACCTACGTTACAAATAAATATAAACGAGTAAATCTTTCTTCTTTCCTCTTGAGCCACCCTTTTTCTGCTATTGTTATCCTAAATCTATAAACCAGCAGGAACCACGCTGTGGCCAAATTGAGGCTCTGAGATGGAAAAAACCATCAAGAGCAACTGAACTTCTCCACAAATAAACCAAGAGTAAATAAGGAAATAGCCCATCCACACCTTCTCTGTGGACATGTGGAGGTTGGAGCTTTTCCTAGAGAAGTGGCAAAGGGTGTTAAACAATAATATATCTTCTTTGGGGAATATGAAGATATTCTGTGTACCCTTTGGAAGAGAGAACAGGAGTGTCTCTTGGGTGATCATCTGCTTCCAAACAGAGAGGTTAGGCAGGTATATAAGGAAGCAGACCGAACAAGGACACAGAAGGGGGCCATGCAGGTCTCTAAATTATACTGCTGGTGATTCCAGCATTGAGGATCCGAAGGAGTTTTCTCCCAACTGGGTCCAAATGGTGGAAATTCCAGTCTCCTAATTCCTGTGCATCCATTAGAGGCAGACCCAAAAGTTCTCTTTGCTAGTTGGTACATGAATGAAAGGAAGCAAACAAACTTCCTGAACTGATGGTGCTATGACTTTACCCCCTTACTCTCCAGTAGTAGTAGTAGTAGTAGTAGTAATTCTTATTTATTTTATTAGCTGAACCGCCCTAGATGAAAGGCATCCTAACCATGCTTTCCCTCACGAAGGCTGCAGAAACTAAAGCCGAGGGTATAATAAAAAAAAAGGCGAGTCAAATAAAAAATAAAAAGCTATTAAGCCCTAAAGGAATGTTTTTTCTTGCTTTAATTCATGCCAAAATGTAGATTGCAACGTTTGCAGCTGCTTGCAAGGGAGGTCATAAACATGTCAACCCAACATTCGCTTTGGTGAGGGTGGAGGAATACCACTTTATGCTTGTGAAGACTTCTCTTCTTTGCCTGTCTTTCTGCCAGTGCCCAAGAACATCTGAACACGGCCCTCCATTCGCCTGTTAGCTGTGCATCGGTGTTCAGACACGCTGAGCACTGAGAGACAGAAGGAGAACTTCCGCAAGCAGAAGGTGACATTCCTGAAGATCCGTCCGTCCTCCTCCACCAAAATTAATGTCAGGCTTTGCGTGTTGGTGACATCACTTGCCGGAGACTGCTGACGTTGGGGAATAGTTGCAAGCTGGCCTTTGGCACGAATTAAAGCAAGAACAACCATTCCGTTTCAAAGGTCTCCATTTACTGATTCCTGCCATTGGAGCGAGGAAAACCTACTAACTAGAAAGAATTTGGGCTCTTAATGAAAGGTAGGAACAAAAGCACCAGTGACGGAACTGAGTTTTTCTTTGACTAAGAATCTCTTTCCCAACAAAAGGCCTATGAGAGGGATGACATCATCACAGCTTAGGGCTTTTCAAAGCTTTTTGGGGGGGAGGAGAGCATTAGCTTTCAAACCTCAAGCTGTCTGGCCTTTTCTTCCTTCCCCCTTGGCAACCAAGGAGCACCGGATGGTTGAAGAGAGTAAAAGAGATCTCACCTGTGCACTGCCGTATAAACTCTTCGTAATCAACCCCATTATGTCCCGGGATGATGGTGGAGCCATCGTACTTAAATGTCACCCTTCGGGAAGAGGGAAGGGAGGGCATAAAAGAAAAGAAAAGAAAAGAATTGAGATGGTTCCTCTCCAGGAGATTTCTGGAGTCTTGCCCCTACCCAGACCCACCCAAGGGCTTCTAGAGTGAGATGGCCCAGTTCCCACCTTGACCCAGAAGCTTAGAAGTAGTCTGGTGGCTCCCAAAGGGAGGTGATCTCCTACTGGAATGCGCTGTGCAGGAACTCAAGTGCCAAGTTGAGGTCCTTCCATGCCAGTCCAACACTTTGGGCATCAAGCCGGGGAGGAGGGCAAGCTGCCAGCTTTGCAAACTGAGAAGCAACCTTGCCCAACCCAAGACCCGCCCGATGGGTTGCAGTGCCCATCATCCCCCACCCCTTCCAAGGTTGTGCTAGCTGGGGAAGACTGGTGTCACCCACCCCCTCTTCCCTAGCCGGGCAAACCCAGCTGAGAGAGGGGGGAGGAAGAGACGGCTTCCCGGCCGGCCCTGGGTCCCTTTCCCCTCTCCTCGCTTCGACGCGAGCCACGCAGGGCCCGGCGGCTTACCAGTTCACCCCCGTGCTGTCGTCCCTCACCAGGTTGTAGGCCCTCCGGCAAGCTTCTTTGTCGATTT